TCTTTGTATCAGAGAATGTCTTAAACTACCTATGCCTTTAGATTCATAACCTAATTACTGTAGGTTTGAGACTTGCATTGTTTTAATCCCAATCTAACAATTGTATCTTTTGACAGTGTTGACTGTTTGCATTTTATTATGCGAACCATATGGATCAGTGAAAACCCAGCATCTTTGCTAGTCTTTTCTCCTTGTTCCATCTGTTCTTTTGTTTCTCATCTGTCGCCCTATCTTGTTTTAAGTGTGGTACTTAGTGACTCAGTTTGCTCAGGTTATTTACCTATTAGTGTTTAGTTTAACCATTAACCCCGGGGTTTACTGACAGAATCATTAAGGAGAGCCTCTCGCTTTCCCTCCCTCTGGGCAAGGAGAAGCACTGCTCTCTTGGCTGTCGAGATCTGGTTATCTCGGAAGTAATGAAAAGGAGAGAAAAGGGAATTTTATCTCCACCTTCATTTATAATATTTCCATCACTCCAGGTAAATGCACTTCGCTGCTGGTCCCCTTCCTAGTCCTAGTGAGATTCTGACACTGCCCTGTGCAGACCAGCAGGCAGTGAATGGCTCCTTGGGGGTCTGAGAAAGCCTCTGAGTCTCCTCTGTGTCTCAGAGCTCTTTGCCAGAAGCGGAATTAGCAGTTCATCCCTTTAAAGACACCACCTGTTATCATCTGCTTTATCTGCTCACTCTGAACTGTGTGCTCCAATTCTTTCTTCTCTGCCATTGCTTTCAGGAGCTATGTAAGGGGTGGGGAGGGCTGTTTTTGTTATTGCGTTGCTGTTATTATTTTCCCCAGTGATGTTCTCATGGCTTCCGTGGTCTATGGTGTGTGTGTGGGTGGGTGGGTGGGTGTGGGTGTGTGTGTTTAGTATTTCCTCTACCTCCCCCTCATTCTTCTGGAGTGACAGCAGCACAAACCTGCTGCTCTTGGGAGTTCTGCTCCTGCCCAACCTTTTCTGCTTTGTGCTGCAGCTTGGCTGGTTCTGCCAGATCCATCTTGGTGCTCAAAGAACCTCGTGAAGCTGTTCTTTTTCTCATTTGTGGTTTGTTGGGTTTCGTTTTGTCATGTCTGTTGCTATTGTTGTTTTATTTCTAGATTTTTCCCTTTGAAACTTAATTTCTTCTGTCCTCTAAAATCAGATACTAAATCCTGTGTGGTGCTCATCTTGTCTATCAGTTTATAACATCAATCTTGCACTCATTGTCCAATAGTTGCAACATCTCGGTTGTGTCTAAGTTGGTACTTCCTGTGACTTCAGGCACCCACTGGGGGTTCTGGGGTACAGATAAAGGAGAGTGGGCTGCACTTGTTCTAATGCTGGGCAGTAATGGAAGAGCATGCATACATGTGGTGGTGCTGTCTTTTTAGAGAATTAGCCCCGTTATCATTGTCTCTAGTATCATGGCTTCCATGAAACAGATAAGGCAAAAGATAACAGAGTGGTATCTTCAAAGACTGAAAGAAAAACTGCCAGTCTCAAATTCTGTATCTAGTAAAACAGCCCCTACAACATGCAGGAAACACAAAGGCTTGTCAAACAAACAAAGCAGCTTCATGCCTGCGTACTTGTTCTTTCAACTCTGTGCCTCGTCAACACATGAGTGTGGGTGACTTCTCTTCTTCCTCAAAGGCTTTTTTTTTCTGAAAGTCATTTTTCAAAGACAAGAAAGACTGGGGAAATCACTTCATTCCTAGGAACAGGCACACCCTGTTTGTCTGTAGTGTGCATGTTGGAAATCTGTCAGAATACATGAGAGAGGTCACCCCTCCTGGGGAACAGAGATGCAGTGAGACACCTGTTTAAGCACGGTACCAGAGAATACTGTCCTTGGCACACCCCGATTTTGTGGACCTGAGCTCTGTGCTTACACTCCTGCTCCTTAGTGGAGAGAGGAAAGCAGAGAACACTTGCAGGAATTTGTGTCCATCACATTCAGGGGAAGGGGGAGTGCACCTATGTACTCAGGCTTATAAACACCAAAGGTCAACATTTTGTCTTCCTCAACCACTCAGCACCTTGTTTTTGGAGGCATGGTCTCCATTGCTGAACCTGAAACTTGTTGATTTGACTCAGTTGCTATCCAGCAAACCCCAGGGATCCTCCTGTCTCCATCTCCCCAGCACTGGGATTGCAAACCTGTATTTCTGCGCCCAACCTTTACAAAGGTGCAAGGCATTAAACCCCATATGTGCATGGCAGCAAGTTTACCAGCTGAGTCATTCCTCCAGCCTCTCACCCATCTCTTTTGTGAACACCATGCTGGGTCCTATAGACAGGAGCCTGTAAGAGCTTGCTGGTCTCCTTTGCTTCCCTGGAAGAAGGGTCTGCATAACTTGACTGACTTGCACTCTTCTTTCATGAGTGCAACACTTTTAGCTAAGTTCTTCCTCGTGAGGTCTGAGTCAACCCCTCCTAGTTGTCGCCATCTTTCCTTGCAGGCATTTTCTTTCCCTAGAATTCGAGCTGTGATGTCAGTTCAGGGGTGGGCTAAAGACAGGCTGTGAATTTGTGGCTTTATTATTGTGATAGCAAACATGTCAAAAAGAAAATACCTAATGTGTTTCCTAAAATGAGTGTTCAAAATCTTCATTGGCTAGTGGGAGACAATATCAGTAGACTTACAGGCTAAAAGTATGAGAGAGCTCTTTCCAAAACAAACCAGTAAATCCTCTTGGGCCTGTTTTGAAAGCCTTTGCTATTCTTGACATTTGCCACCAGGGGGTGCCCTGCCACGCAGCTGTTGTATATTCCTGGGTAGAGCAGATGTTGAATAAGAATTTTCCGTGTTCATGTGACAGGCATGAAGTGCAAATGATGCTCATGAGGAGGGCCTATTTTTGAGGTGTCCCTGGCTGTACCTCCCTCAGCCCTCAAACAGGTTGAGCTGTATGTCCCCAGCCCCTCACTCAGAACCTATCCTTCACCCAAGATCTGGGTTGGCAGGCGATCAGGTCCTTTCTAGGTAGCCAGCACTAGCATCTTCAGCTTTGTTCCAGTTGTCTTCTCAGAGTGGACAGGCTGGGAACCCAGGCCAGCTCATCTGCTGAGGGTAAAAATGTGCAGGAGCCCTGTAACAGGAAGGTAAGGATGGTGGGGTGTACTAGCTTAGGTAATTTATTAGAAACAAAACAAAACTATAGTGGTTTACAGCATACAGGGTGGGCTCCCAAGTAAATAAATCCTGTAAGAAGGGTTCTGATTAGCAGGCAATTTTTCTTGGGGATCAAAAGCCTGCTCCAGCTGCCTCAGAGTCCCACTGTCTTCACAGGAGACATGGGCAGAGAGGGGGAAGCCCCCTCATCCTGGCCATAGTCCCCAGAACTTACCACATTACTTTACTCACAGCCTATGTTCTCAGCTGTGCAATTCCTACCTCCCCAATGCCGAGAATGGAAGTCACAGTGGCAGATGTTTCTCCAACCATCTCTGCCACTGAACCCAGAATGGCCAAATTATACCCACATGAACTGATCCTGATAGACTATTGTTGTCCAGAGCAATCTCTTCCAGAACCTTTTAATTGAAGAGCCACAGGGATGCATATTTACAATGTAGTCCTCCATCCTTATTCAGGACCCCGTTGCCTGACCATCTGCATGCAGGAGTGCAGAGCCCTAGAAGTCTAGGAGGCAGTGTTGGTTAGGAGCACCTCTGCTGCCTAAACAAAGCTCCCCTACAGGCATCACCCAAGAGAGACCTGGTCCTGGGCCAGCCCAGAAGCCCACTTTGCAGCTCAGCCCTGGGAAGGGAGACCACATCAAAGCAGAAGCCGAGATACCACCACCTCCTCCCCCACTAGACCCTGCCTGCATTGCTCCATCCCTGGCCACACACAGTGAAAACCCCTAAGGTGGCAGATAATCAGCAAAGCTGCCTTTCATTTGTTTAAGGTAGAGATGGGGAGGAAGAGGGAGGGTGAAGTTTGCACTCACAATCTCCTTGACAGCACTAGAGGGCAGCATTGAGTCATACACAATTTCTCAAACTCGACAGTACTGGCTCCTGGATTTTCTGTTTTGTTTGCCTTTTTGTTCTTGCCATGGCACGGCATGGTATGATTCATGGACTATGACAAGCAAAGGCACAAAGCAGATGCCGGGGGGCCTGGGCTGGGCTTCTCTGCGGTGGTGAGACTCCAGAGAGGTAGGGCATTCTAAAGGGTGTGACACAGGAGACTAGTACTCATTTGGAAGGTGAAATTGGGAAACCAACCTCTCCACTCCTTCCTGTTCGTTACTCCTGGCAACACCCTGGGGAGAAGGCAGCTGTGACATTAAGGACCTCTCAGTACATTCTCAGTACACCTTTAGATACCCACCTCCAATGATCTCTGAAGCTGGCGTCCATGTGTTTTGTGGTGAACCAGCTCCTCTGAGGGATAGCAAGCCAGATCCCAACCTCATCCCCACCTCAGAAGGCTGCCCCTCCACTCTGCTTCTAAGACGGCTTCAGCCCAGCACTGTGTGGGTGCCTTCTGTAGACTTGTCACTAGATGCTTTGTGTATGAAAGTCTGCTTTGCTTCGGTGTCCTGTGCAAGGTGAGATCCCTGTGACAGACTCAGGGAGGGTCTGCAGCCCCACCCCACCCCCAGTCTTGCAGCAGTAAAGCTCAGCACACACCTCTCCTGACTTGCAAACTCTGCCCTTCACTGAGATGAAATGGAGGCAAGGCGCAGGCCACTCACAAAGTGGCCTCCTCCGGTACACCTCCCTGACCTTGGTCTTTACTTGGCGGGGCCTGCCCTCTAACTGAAAGAGACCCAGACAGTCCAGGCAATGCCTCCACCTGCGCATCAGCTATGTAAGGGGGTCGGTTTTTGAAACCTATGGTCTTAGCACTCCTGGTATGAAGTCCTATGTCGACCTTCTGTCTCCATTGAGTTGCCTGTCACCGGGACAGCTAGCCTTGAATTTCCCTTAGAGAGCTCTAAGCTCTGCTGAGGCTCCCGGCCTGAGGCCGGTAAACTACCTGTCACTTGGCCTCTCTCTTCTGTTTCAGCTGTCATCCCCCTGACGGATTCGGAGCACAAACTGCTGCCCCTACACTTTGCAGTGGACCCAGGAAAGGACTGGGAGTGGGGGAAAGACGACAACGACAATGCCCGGCTAGCCCAGTAAGACCTGCCCCGTAGCCGGGTCCCCACCCCAGCGCCCCCTGGGGGAACCCTGGCGGGGCTCCTGTTGGGAATGGGGGTTGAGGGCTAGAGGGCAGAGAGAGGATGGTGTGCGCAGATGGGTGAGCTCGTGCCACCTCCGGAGCTTTTCAAACCTCGGTGTTCTTTCATCAGCCTCATCCTATCCCTAGAAGCCAAGCTGAACCTTCTACACAGCTACATGAATGTGACGTGGATCCGCATCCCCTCCGAGACCCGGGTGAGCCTTACATGCACTGAGCCCCCCGACCCTGCGATGGGGGAGGAGTGGCCGCTCTGCGCGGTGTGGGATTTAATGCACCTCTCTCCTGAATGTCCATGGGCAATGGGGGGGACACACCCGCCACCCACAGCTGCGCCGCCCAGAGGCCCCACCCCCTCATGCCCCAGGACTCAGCCCAGCCACTCTGGTTTCCAGTCCAAAGACTTCCTGTTGATGCGAGTGTGCATGTGTGTGTGCGTGTGTACGCAAATGTGCGCCTCTGGTTCCCCATCCAAAGACTTCTTGTTGGTGCGAGTAGTGGCATGTGTGTGTGTGTGTGTGTATGTGTGTGCACGCAAGTGTACGCCCCAGTTAGGATTTTTCCCCCTCTTATTTTGCACAGCAGGAGAGGAATTACACGCCCACTCACAAAACAAACCATAGGCAAGTCATAACACAAAACTATCTCTGCTGAGATCGGAACAAGGTGTGCTGCGGCAGAGAGGAATTAATTATAACTGTGGATCCTTAGAAAAGCGGGGACCCGACTGTGCGAGTCCTCAGTACGCTCCTCTCCCTTCCCCTCCCCGAGGCGGAGGTGGCTGCAGGGGGAGCTGGCAGAAGGCAGAGAGCCACCCACCGGTGGGGGGGGCTGCCCCTGCTTGCAGATGCTGAGAGATTCGTTTTAAGTACGTGACTGATGTTTTCATAATCTCAGGAGGGAACTCCCAAGGAAAGGGATTTGTGAAAATTGCTTGTAAATAATTGGTCCTCCCTGACATCCGTTTACTTAAGCACCCAGCGGGCTCTAAGTACTGAAAGGCAACACCCTGCTGAATGGTGACTGCCCTGCTGCTCTGAGGGCTCACTTCAGCTTCACCTGCACAGCATCCGAGTAGAGCGCCCCCACGTGGCTCTAATTCGTCGTGTTCCTGAGGGCACAAGGGATGACTAGTCAGTGGTAGTCATAAAGTCCTGCCTCTCCCATCCTGGAGGATACCCTTGAGCCTAGGGTGATGCTCTCTAAGCACCCACGTGGTATATATACAAGGCAGCAGCCCGAGATCCATCAGAACCCTCCAGCTGGGCACACTGCATGCAGTACTGGGCTCCCTTCCCTGTTTCAGCCTTAGGCCTTCCACCCTTTAGAGCCTCTGGCAACCCAACCCAAGGGTCCACAATCCTTCCAAATCCAAGGAGGGGTTTCTGCGGGGTGTGGGGGGAGGGGTAGGTACAGTCCTGCCAGCCATTGCTTCAGTGACCTAGCCACACAGGGTTATCCCTCTGGAACCTGCTTAAGAGAAGGACAAAAGTAAAGTGAGGAGTAACAACTTCTCCTATCTCCTCTGAAACCAGAAAAGTCTGTTCAGGCATGGACCAATGTACTAGTTTGCCTACATGCCCAGAGACTGGCAAAAGGGATGATGCCTCCCCAGGGACCCACCTCAACTCTGCCCTACCCACCATGCCGTTCTCCCACAGCCTTCTCAGGCTTTCCACCGGTGTCAGAGACTGGCCTTGCTGTGCTACACGGCCTTGTCCTCCTCCCCAGGTAGTGTCATCTAGGTTACTCAGCACGAGATTCCTTCACTAGTGTCTGTCCCCCAGACCCCACATCCCCACTGGGGTCCATTTTAAGCACCCTCCTCAGCTTGGCATCCCACATTCACACTAGGAGAAGGGACCCCTGAGTAATGGCATGGCTGGATAAAGGGAGTGATGGGTCCAAGACAAAGAATCGGGTTTATGGCAAGATGTCTAGCCCGTTGTCTCACCTGGTGGCCTCTACCATTACACAGAGATCTGGAACCTCTTTCTAGTGATGCCAATAGCCTGGTCAGGGAGGGACGCCAGAATGTGGACCTGGTGTCTCTCTATAAAATATACTGAGGTTCTGGAACTCCACACCAGTTGACTCTACTCATCCACTCGGGATTCTAGACTATGTATTCCGAGATAAAGTTCGTGCATCCTCCCTAAAAGGATGGCACCAAAGATATGAGGTCTCTTCCAGATCACTTTGCCAACACCTGCAAGCCTGCCTTCCACCCTTGCAAAGATCAGGGCTCTGTGCAAGATAATTATTCCATAAACACCTCCATCCTTCTCTAGTAGACCTCACCCCCACTCCCCCACCCCCCACAGCAGCAGAGACTTAAAAAAACACCAGTGTCCTGGTCTCAGCTCTGTGTTCGTGGGGCCTACACGGGGGAAGCTCTTCTATAACTACTTTCCTTTCGTGCCTTGCCTCCCCACAGGCTCCCCTTGCCCAGCCAGAGTCTCCAACGGCCTCGGCAGGGGAGGATGTACAGTCCCTGACCGAATCGCTGGACTCTGACCGCGATTCTGTGTGCAGCAATTCTAACAGCAATAATGGCAAGAACGGTAAGGACAAGGAGAAGGAGAAGCCGCGCAAGGACAAGGACAAGACACGCGCGGACTCCGTGGCCAACAAGCTGGGCAGCTTCAGCAAGACGCTGGGCATCAAGCTGAAGAAAAACATGGGCGGGCTGGGCGGCCTGGTGCACGGTAAGATGGGTCGTGCCAACTCTGCCAATGGCAAGAACGGCGACGGCAACGAGCGCAGCAAGGAGAAGAAGTCCAAGTCTCGCAAGGGCAGTAAAGAGGACTCCGGAGCGTCAGCTAGCACCTCGCCGTCGGAGAAAACCACACCGTCGCCCACGGACAAGGCGGCGGGTGCATCGCCGGCCGACAAGGGCAGCGGGCCAAGGAGCGACGCCTGGAAGTACAGCACGGACGTGAAGCTGAGCCTCAACATCCTGCGCGCCGCCATGCAGGGCGAGCGCAAGTTCATCTTCGCCGGCCTGCTGCTCACCAGCCACCGGCACCAGTTCCACGAGGAGATGATCGGCTACTACCTGACCAGCGCGCAGGAGCGCTTCAGCGCCGAGCAGGAGCAGCGGCGCCGGGACGCCGCGGCAGCCGCGGCCACCGCCACGGCCACGGCCACGACCAAGCGACCGGCGCGCAGGCCCGAGGCTGAGGGGCCGCCAGGCCCGGAGCGCGCCTCGCCGGGCCCGCCAGCCGCGCCGCCCACGCAGCTGGTGCTCAAGCTCAAGGAGCGGCCGAGCCCGGGGACCGGCGTGAACGCGCGGGCGACGCGGGCGGTGGGTGGCGCGGCGTCCCCGGGCCCGGGCGGCGGCACGCGTCGCGCGGGTACCGGCACGGGAGGCCCGGCCCCAGGCCGCAGCCCACCCGCGCCCGCGCGCCAAAGCGTCATCCACGTACAGGCGGCAGCCCGGGACGAGGCGTGCGCGCCGGCCGTGGGCGCGCTGCGGCCGTGCGCCACCTACCCGCAGCAGAATCGCTCGCTGTGGTCGCAGAGCTACAGCCCGGCGCGCGGCGCGCTGCGCACAGTCAACACGGTGGAGTCGCTGGCGCCCGGCGGAGGGGACTCCCCGGGGCCCGCGGAGCAAAAGTCGCAGACTTACAGCAACGGCTTCAGCGCGGCCCGCGGCGACGGCCTGGAGTTCGCCGATGCCGACGCGCCGGTCGCGCGCTCGAACGCTGAGTGCGCCCGCGGTGGCCCCGGGCCCGCGCAGCGGCGCTGCCAGCGGGAGAACTGCGCGTTCTACGGGCGCGCCGAGACCGAGCACTTCTGCTCCTACTGCTACCGCGAGGAGCTGCGGCGGCGGCGCGAGGCGCGCGCTGCGCGGCCCTAAGCCGCCAGGGACTGCTTTTCCATCCTTGGGTCTTTTTTTTAAAACTTGCTCTGGTCATTCGAAGGACCGGCGCCTCCTCCTCGGTGAGTGCCGTGTACGTGTTTGGTCAAACGTTCCTAATGGTGCCTGAACCTACACTGATGCCACTCAGGTAGTAGACGGATAGGAAACAAGTCATACTGTTGAAAGTGGGTGTGCTAGCCTAGCATCTGCCTCGTTACCTGTGGAAACTCAATAGCCATTGCAAGAGTATTTTTGTTCCTCTATACGAGAAATAAAGAAAATCGCAGCCCTTTGTTTTTAGAAGGGAGTGTTTTACATGCTTTTCTTCCCCCTTAACCTAGGGACTGACCTCTTTCAGGTAGCGGTCACTTGCGTGCAGTTGGTAGCACGCAGGGTTTAGAAGCAAATGCACAGCCCGGCCTGAGGGGGAGCCTCCTCCGAATCTCCCACCTGGGTCCCTGGAGACCTCCAGCAGGCACCTCGCTACCCGCTGACGCTGGACCCTTAGGACTCCTCCCCAGCTCCATCTCATAAGCAAACCCTCCTCCCACAGCCCCCGGCTCGAGCACCATTCTCACTGCCATCCAAGCCGCGGGCGACCACAGAATGGGCACCGGACAACCTACCTCTCAGGGCACGGGGAGGTGTAACGATCACTCCCAGTGCCGAGCAGCTCCGGTGACAGGAGCTTCGCAGAGACACTTGGGGGTGCCCAAAAAAAAAAAAGCAGGGTCTTGAACTCACGATCGGATCGGCCCACCCATGAGCCAGTGTGACAGGCTGCTTATGTCTCCTTTGAAGACACATGTACAGTGAACTGTCGCTGGAGGGTCCCTTAGGAGGTGATCTCACATCTGTGTCCCAGAGGAGGGGACAGAATTGACCCCTTGGTCACTGTGTCAGCCCTCATCGGGCTGCTTTGAACCTAGCCTGGCCTCCTTCCTTAGGGTGGGGGTTGAGGGAAGCCGAGGCCAGGGAGACAAGGACACCACCCTTACCCCACCTGCATCTGTCTGGGTTCAGCTTGGTTAAAGGGCTCTGTGCTGGTGGAGACCTTTCACGGGGCAGGTGGCCTGTTCCTGGCTCCATGCCACATTGAGGGAGCAGCCCAATCTGTGAGCAGTCTCCTTTCTGGTGCCTCCTACATTTCTTGAGGAAAATTAAAATAATAATAATAATAATAATAATGTGTCCTTAGCTACCCTGTTTTGAGCAGCAATATGCAGCCTCATCCTTCCAAGATTACCTCTGCAGACCACTGTTGTTGGCCAGGACACTGAGGAGCTAGCCTGCTTCACTAAAGAGCAAGCTTGCTTCCAGGATATAGGAAGCCGATGGGTAAAATCCTCGATAAGGAAATAATACTTACACACCTGGTGAGAGCTTTAGACTAGCCCCGCCCCCATGTCCCTAAAAACAGGAGAAAGCACCTGCCTATCCTCAGAAAGTGCAGAAAATGGTTCACACAGTCACCTGGGCCAGCCTCTCCAACTGAAGGATGCTTTATCCCGTGACGTCCAGAGCAGCAAAAGCAAAATAATAATAATAATAATAATATTAAATAAAAATAATAAATAAATAAAAATGTTCAAAGGATGGGGAGGGAATTTTTTTTACCTGTTTGAAAAATGATAATAAAATAACTGAGTATCTCCTGTGAGTAGTTCCTTTTTGTTTTTAATTATTCCACAGCCTGTGGAGTTTTCAGTAATGTATTCAAGTTTTGCATAAAGTGGTTCCTTAAATCAAAATTATGTATTAAATAGACCTTTAAGACTTTTTTTCAAACTTTTATTTTCGTGTTGAACAAGATGCTTTAAACGTGTGGTAATAGCTAATACTCATCTCCCTGAGAGTACTGGGATTCCTCTTGTTACTTGGGGTGGGGGCAGGAAAGGTTCAAAAATATATCTCTCACTCAGAGGGTTTGTGGCAGCTTGCAGGGATAGCTGGTTTCTTTTGAACACATCACCCGAACAGCTGTTTCATCCCCCAAAGTTGTCGGGTTACCTAAGCCTCTGCTTCCAGCAAAGTGGGCTACTCTAGCTCATCCCTCAAGACTAGAGTTCCAGTGTGTGTTCCGAAGGCCAGCACACAGGCACAAGAGGCAGAAATGCATGCTTGCCTTTCTCATACCGTGATGTTAAAACAGACAACCAGAAATTCCCAAAACTGGCTATGCAAATCTTTCCTCTTTCTCATGTGCTCTGCCAGAAAAATAAATAAACAGGGCAAGTTGAGAATTAAAGTAGTTTATGGTAATAACAGAAACCCTCCCAACAGGGCAGTTGTTGTGCACTCTTGAAGGATGACAGAGGACTGTATCTCCTTCCTTGCCAACTTACTTCTCCCTCCCCCAGTCTAATGACGAATGTCCCTCAGCTTGATCTCATTGGGATAGACAAGGTAGAGCACCGGTTGGGGCCTGCCCCAAGCAGTCCATGTGTTTAAAAGTCCCATTGCCTTCTGTGAGAAAGGCTGCTTCTGTGGTTTCTGTGTGCTCACAGCCTGCTTCCTGTTGCTCAGAAGAGCTGAGCCCTGACTAGATGGGCACAAGTGGGCCAAGTTCCCTAAGATCCCTCTTTGACTGGGCAGCCTTTTTTGGAACACAGAAGAAGAGGGTAGGTCCCAGCTGCTGTGTTGAGAGACACTGCCTGTACCCCTAGCAAGCAGGGTTCCCCATGTGATCTGGCCAGACTTTCTAAGAGGGATGGGTGTGTCCAAGCGACAGCAAATGCCCAGAAATAACCCAGATGTCTCTAAGCCCCTGTGGAGATTATTCCAGAAATTTAGTTCACATTTCCTTCACTTGTATTGCCTGGGGGGATGATTTTTAATCATATTATTTTGGCAAGGGAAGTAGTTTTTCAGTATATTCTGTTTATAGATTTTATACACTGTTACGTTCAAGTTTTACAGGCCAACTTTAAACTGTACTGTAGAAGTTATTTTTATATAACTCCCAGAACGTGCCACAGAGCAATACCTTGCACCCTTATTTCTACAAGGTTGTCCCTCAGAAGAGTAAGTCTTGATGGCGGGGCTGCACTGTGACGCTGGAATCTCTGTGCTTTTGTGTGGACCTCTGACACTGGGACCATGTAAATACCTTCACCAGTTTGACTGAGCACTTGGTTTGTTTTCGTCCATGTATGGGTTTGTGGTGCTGCATCATTTTCATTGATGAAAACGTTGTCACTAAGTTACTGTGGCCCCTTCCTTAGCTATTAGTACCCATGCCATTTGAACCTATTGTTTTCCAAAGTTAACGTTTTTTGCAGAATTACTTAACTTAAAAATCCTGGTAGCTTATTGTCATAAGTAACTCATGATGACAGAAGATGAAAGAATCCACCCGAATGCAGGCCTCAGGATGTGGCATCCCCCATGAAGTCAGTTTGTACCCCAAAGTAGCTGGGGGCAGAGCCAATTGTACCCAAGACCCTCCCTTAGTATCCATAAGTTTATTTTGCAAACTCTCCTAACTGTAAAAACAGACCTTTCCCATCAAAATATATTCCATGTTGACTGAAAAAAAGCAAAAGGGGGTGCAGGGTTGTAGATGCCCATGTTGGGAAATTTGTGAAATACAAAAACAAGGGAGAGTGTGACAGTTCCATTGTGCGAGTCAAGCTAGAGGCACTTTCCTCATGCTTGAGGTCTCTTTGTGACATGCTCTTTGCCCTTGGTCATAGGGAGGATATTACATATTCAGTTCCTCCCGTGTTCTTTTCTTCCAAAGCTGCTAATAAGTGAGATGGTAGTTTGGTGGCTGAGTGAGCTAGCTCTGACCTTAACCCCCTTGAGATGAGATAGAGTGGCCTGGGCTCCAGCTAAGAATCTCCTTCTCTTGTCCTTTGAAGAGAAGCACCTGTGAGAAATCCAGGGGTGGCCAGTCCTCCTGGCACCAGGAGGTGGCAGTCCCTTCCCAAAAGCCTTAAGTAGTAGCTCTCCAGACTTCTGAGTGCCCTGCCTCTCTTTGCTGACGTCGCTCATAGTCTGTATGGGTGTGCAATGTGTAATTATAGGACACACACAGAAGGCCATCATCCCCAAACATGCTAGCAATATGGCTATTTCTAATGATTGTATAAAATAACTCATTAAAGTTTGGATCTTCACTGTTTTAATGAAATGATGCACACTGCTGTACTTTTATTCTTCCAGAGAATATCTCAAAGATGTATGTGTGCTTATACATACATATATGTGTATATATACATACATACATACATACACTGTTTAACGTAAGGTGAGCAATGTCAGTTGGTTTAAGGGTCAATGTAAGTGGAATCTGCTCAAAACAAAAGCAGTGAAATCGGCTACTACAGACTCTGTCTCCACATTCTGAAGGATGACTTTCCATGAAAACAGTTTCCCATCACATAGTAATAGCCAAAACCTTACAAAGCCTGCCCTGGCTAGGTATGGCCAGAGGTGATGCCATCTCCAGTTTCCAGGCACCCTCTGGCCTTAGGGTCATGGTATGTGTTACTCCTTCTATTCTTCATGGTCTACCCAGTCTTTGCTTCACCACCATCCTTCAGCAAGCCCTTCTCCAACTTCATCATTTAAGCTAATATCCCACCCTTCCTCCCATCTTTAGCTTCCTCTCACCGCTCCTGATCACCACGTATATTAACTACTCATTCATTCATTTTGCCACAGCCCCGGGTCCCTGTAGAATGTAAACTCCATGCATCTTGTTCACTGCTGTGTGCTGGTGCCTACAGCAGAGCCTGGCACACCGTAGGCACTGGATAAATCCTGGTTGAAGAAAAGAAATCCCTCATTTGGTAAGACACCACAAAATGTCAGTTTCATCCTTCATCAAGTACTGATTTTTCTGCTGCCCTTACATATAAAAACTGCAAGCTGGTTAGGTGGTCTGGTTCATTAAGACTGGAGGTACCACATGACTAGATGTGATAACTTAATCATTGATAGCATCTGTAGTCACCATCAGTCCCAGAGTGGGACCTGTAACCAAGCCCTTCCTCATAGTGGGGCTCTGCTGTTTGCAGGGGGCACCTTGGGTCAAGCAGAGGTGAAAATGGTCCATATTGGGTAGCTAATAGAGTGAGATGCACTATGGGGAGCCCCACCGTATTGGCTATAATGTCATTGGAGACCCCAACCATTCCAAAGAAGCCTTTCTAATTGGTTCTTAGGTATCCATCTGTCCTTCCTGTCCCAGACACAGTGGCACAGGTGGTCCAGCCCTGGTGAAGGCTCCATTCTCTAGTCACCAAAATGCAGGGCAGTGGAAGGCCAGGAGCTGATCACTCTGATGATCTGGGGCAGTGTTGGGTGACAAGACCACTGGGACTCAATGGCTTCAACACTGGGTGTACATAGGAAGGGCAGAAAAGCCACACACACACCCATGGGCCCAGGACTCTAATGGAGATACCCTGAACTTGACAGGCAACCCCACCCACCTAAGGGACTGCCCCAGAGCCTGCTTCTCTGCCAGGTATTTTCACAGCTACCTAACCACACTGTTTACTTCCTGGCACTTTGGCCAAATTCGTTGTCCTCTAAGAATCACTGGCAAAATACTGTTACAAGCTGCTCATTGAACCTTTATCCTCTTGTGGCCTGGTGAAAAGACTGTATCCTCTAATCCTCTTCTGTGGATGGCTCTTGCTTTCATCTCTCTGGATGCTATATTATAGGGTTCCTCTCGGGTGTGATATCCCTCATAAATACCCCCTGCTGTGCAAATGGGCACTTGCACGTGTGTCCCCATACTTGAATTGTCAAATATGTGATATTCCTTTCATTGTTGCCCAAACAGCTTGGGCCCCTGTTCCTGCCAGGACTCAGAAGGGAAATAACTTCCCAGGGAGCACTTATCTCCCTGGCAAGTGCCCAGGGGTGGCCCAGCTCGCAGCCTCTGTGTGAACACATAGGAGTTTGAATTATGACTTGGCAGTAAGAGTGGTCAGTGCTCACTGGTGACCCAAACTACTGCATAGGTTCGAGTGTACAATGCAGACCAGCCATGTCTAAGAGCCCAGTGCAGAGACCAACCTGCCTCTAACAGAGCCAGTATCCAGTCCGTGGAGCTCAGCTCTGCCACAACCCCAGGTGGCAGACACTGGGCCCACAGTGACACAAATAAAGGGACACTTAGGAGCAGAAAGCAGGCTCAACTGAGTCCAAGCAGGGACTAAGTTTGGTAACCCATCACTGCCTCACCTACAGAGCCTGCACTCCATCTACCTTCATTTTTGACAAACTGGCCTCCTTGTAACCGGAAGCTGATTGTAACAAAGGACTCCCTCAGCCTGTACTTGCCTAGTTCCTTTAAATGGGCATTCCAGTCTCACAAAATCATGAAATCTTTCTCCTCTCTCTCTCCCTCTCTGTGGTTCATTTGACTGATTTGGGGATGAAGGGGATGAAATAGATTGCCTTGCTTTCTATTTATTTCCTTATTGTGAACAAAGAAAAACACTGAGGCAAAAGATGGGTCATAGATCTTCATGTTTCCACCAAGTTGTTAAAAAAACCTTTCTACCCACATGTGAGTGTTCATGCTAATTCCACACAAGTCTTCCCTTCCATCTGGTCCATTGTTGGTGAAGAAACCCATTGTAAGAGCTGTCGAGGGGGACGAGGCCGTCCCTTCGCAAAGTAGTAAAGCACTGAACCAACTTTTTGCAATATGTAGTAAATCTTGCTTTCATTTTGAAATACTTCCAGTAAAGACTACTGCACTTTTATAGAAGAACAGTATTTCATTTCTTTCTTTTATGAAAGATCATTTCAAGTAAAACTAGCTCTGTAACCTGTGTGACATGGCTTCTCCATTACTTGATACAGAGGAGCTTTGATGCTTAATCAATAAAATTGACATGTTTGTAAAGCACGAGTTGATCCGGTTATTTGCTCACCCATTCCTGGGTACTCGAGAAGTTACCGTCAGAAGAAATTGTTATGAAGCCAGTGAGATGGCTCAGCGAGTAAAGTACTTGCCTCACAACATGGCGACTTGAATTTGAACCCACATGAAGGTAGAAGGGCAGAACCAACTCCCAGAAGTTGTCCTCTGAGCTCCATGTGCATGCCACTGCATGCACGCAAAATAATAATAATATAAATTGTAAAATTATTTATGGCCTAAGAGGAGGAGAGTTGAAGGGGGCATGTGTGCGCCCCTGTTTAGAGGGGAACCGCTTTCCCCTTCGGATAGAGTCTGAACCCGGTGATCCCAGGGTTTCCTTTTGCAAATGCTCAGGACACTTCCTACATGGATGAAAACTGAAGGGGCCTTCAGCACGTAATCACAAAGGGTTGTGATAGTAAGCAAGAAGATACAGCTGCCCATGTGACAAAAATCTGATTTATGCTTTCCTGATTTTCTGAGATGGAAAAGGACGAAGGAAATGTCCTTCCCTCCTTGTGAAGAGTCCAGAGCCCTGGGTCTCTCTCAGGCATGCACTGTGCCAAGACTCAGATACAGCCATGCATCCGGTGCCCACTGTATGCTGTGCCCTGCCCTCAACACTGGGTCACTGATGGAATGTGGTGACCTGTCTCCCACACTGAATGGCTCCACAGGATATGGCACATTCTGCTCATGGTGGAATCTGGTCTATACACCAGTCTGTGAGGGAGAAATCTATGCCTCATCTTAGAGATGAGAACACTGGGATTTGTCACAGCAAGTCATAGAGTAGGGATCTGAGTCCAGATTTGCCTGGTATAAGTTGTGATATATTGTTAATGATCTAATAAAGCTTGCCTGAGATCAGATAAGCAAAGCAGTCAAGCCACTAAAAGAGTGGCTTGGGGGTGATCCTGTCATCACCAAGACTGCAGACTGAATGCCCTGAGAACCCTGAGTTCCTATCTTATTTACCTCCCTAGTGCTGGGGTTAAAGGCATGTACCACCACTGCCCAGCCTCTATGGCTAACTAGTGTGGCTTCTGAGATTAAAGGTGTGTACCACTACTGCCTGGCCTCTGTGGCTGTGGCCGGCTTTACATTATGATCTCCAGGCAAGCTTTTTTAGATGATAAACAATATATCACCACAATTTCCCTCTTTTTGTCTAATACAAAAAGAGAAGGTTATAACTAATATAATAAAAGTAAATACAATAAGTACAATAACTATATACAATATATACAGGCAAAAAGTACATCAGCAATGCCTAGTCCATTTGCATTTGACAAATTCAGAGAAAATACTCCTATCTGTCCTGTCTCGGTGAGTCCAAAAAGGTTGTACCTAATTCACTTTCTATCAGCCTTGGTAGACGTAAGAACTCTTTAGTGACTTGGCTGCTTTGTATTCTGATCTTCAGGCAAGCTTTATTAGCTCATATATAGTATATCACCACAGTGTGTGTGATGCCAGTCCAAAGAAGCCAGGCCCTGTCAGGAATCCCCAGTTCAGGGAAGCTGGCACACAAATCTTCATCTGGTTCTCATGAGCCAGGAATTAACACAAACGGGAGAGTATTAGAAAGATCTAGACTAGCCTGTGAGGTTTTTTGGGACAAAAGCCTATATACCCCAGGGGTCCAGTTGAGGTCAGTAAGTTCCCATGTGTCTGGCTGTAGTGGTCTCCTACAGGAGACCTGGCATCTTGATAGGAGATAGAAGGTTCCTCTCAGTTCTTCAGGCTGGCAGGAGGTCCCACACCAGAGGCTGACTTTTCATTTAAAGTTTGGAAATGTGTTTAAAGATCACAGGATCAGGGCAGGGTACTAGCTAACCAATCCTGGCTTTCTATTTCTATTCTGAAACAGAGAGAGAGAGAGAGAGAGAGAGAGAGAGAGAGAGAGAGAGAGAGAGAGAGAGAGAGAGAGAGGGAAAGTTCATAAGCATGCCATGAAACCATGGAACAGATGTATCATTCAAAAAACAAAAGATGCCTTGGGGAGCTAGAGAGATGGCTCAATGGTTAAGAATGCTCTCCCAAAGGACCCAGCACCTATGTTGGGTACCTTATAATTGTCAGTAACTCCAAAGCCAAGGGATTGGATGCCCTCTGCTGGCCAACACATCTGTGCGGACACACCTCCCCACCACCACCTCATGCACACAGGTAAATAAAAAGAAACCATTAAAGAAAAGGATGTCAAAACAATCATTCACCACTATCAAGTAGGTTTCATCCCAGGGATGCAGGGATGGTTCAACATACGAAAATCCATCAATGTAATCCACCATATAAACAAGCTGAAAAACAAAAATCACATGATCATCTCACTAGATGCTGAAAAAACCTTTGACAAAATCCAACACCCCTTCATGATAAAGGTCTTGGAGAGATCTGGGATAACAGGAACATATATAAACATAATAAAAGCTATATACAGCAAACCAACAGCCAACATCAAACTAAATGGACAGAAACTCAACGCAATTCCACTAAAATCAGGAACAAGACAAGGCTGTCCACTCTCTCCATACCTTTTAAATATTGTACTTGAAGTTCTAGCCAGAGCCATATGACAACAAAAGGAGATCAAGGGGATACAAATTGGAAAGGAAGGGGTCAAACTTTCACTATTTGCAGATGATATGATAGTTTACATAAGTGACCCAAAGAACTCTACCAGGGAACTCTTACAGCTGATTAACACCTTCAGCAAAGTGGCAGGCTACAAGATCAACTCAAGAAAATCAGTAGCCCTACTATATACAGATGATAAAAGTGCTGAGAAAGAAATCAGAGAAACATCACCCTTTACAATTGCCACAAACAACATAAAATACCTTGGGGTAACGCTAACCAAACAAGTGAAAGACCTGTATAGCAATAACTTTGAGTCTTTAAAGAAAGAAATTAAAGAAGCCCTCAGAAAATGGAAAGATCTCCCATGCTCTTGGATAGGTAGGATCAATGTAGAAAAAATGGCAATCCTGCCAAAAGCAATCTACAGATTCAATGCAATCCCCATTAAAATACCAGCACAATTCTTCACAGACCTTGAAAGAACAATAATCAATTTTGTATGAAAAAACAAAAGACCCAGGATAGCCAAAACAACCCTGTTCAACAAGGCAACGTCTGGAGGCATCACCATCCGTGACTTCAAGCTCTATTATAGAACTATAGTCCTGAAAACAGCTTGGTATTGGCACAAAAATAGACAGGTAGACCAATGGAATCAAATTGAAAACCCTGATAGTAACCCACACATGTATGAACATCTGATCTTTGACTAAGAAGCTAAAAATGGAAAAATGGAAAAAAGAAAGCATCTTCAACAAATGGTGCTGGCATAACTGTGAAAGACCCCCAGAGTGGGGAGACCCTCACTCAAGTCTCAGGATAAGCCGATGCCCCAATAATTCAAGAGAGACCGTTCTTGCTGCAAGCACACCAGGTTTATTCGAGGAACCAGTGCACTGGGGCCAAGCTCATGACCCTCGCAGGGGCAGAGGAGATCAACCCCTAGTAGCTGCAGTCGGGGTTTTTTAAAAGGGAAAAACTGAATCGGGGAGTTAGGCAAACATCATAAAGGATGAGAAGTTAAATGATAGCTTATGTCTTAACAGGAAGGTTATCTCAAGCAAGCATTCTTTGGGCATTGTACAGTTAAACATTGAGCAGGAATGTGGTGAGCTAGTTCCTGGATCAGGGAGGGTTATCTTTTAAGTTTATCTTGAGGTCTCCGGTTTCTCAGGAGAGGGCAGAAGGGCAAGTCACTCTGTGATGGGCTAGTCACTAGGGGTCTAAAAATGTTGAGTTGGGATCTCTCAACTGGATGCTGGCATGTAGAAGAATACGGATCAATCCATGTCTATCGCCATGCACAAAACTTAAGTCCAAATGGATCAAAGACCTCAACATAAATCCAGCCACACTGAACCTCTTAAAAGAGAAAGTGGGTGGTACCCTTGAGCAAATTGGTACAGGAGACAGCTTCCTGAACATAACACCACTAGCACAGACAGTGAGATCAACAATTAATAAATGGGACCTCCTGAAACTGAGAAGGTTCTGTAAGGCAACGCTGACACAGTCATCAAGACAAAAAGGCAGCCCACAGATTGGGAAGAAATATTCACTAATCCCACATCTGACAGAGGGTTGATCTCCAAAATTTACAAAGAACTCAAGAAGCAAGTCTCCAAAACACCAAAGGATCCAATTAAAAAGTGGGCTGCAGAACTAAATAGAGAATTTTCAATAGAGGAGTCTAAAATGGCTGAGTGGCACTTGAGAAAGTGCTCAACATCCTTAGCCATCCGGGAAATGCAAATCAAAACAACTCTGAGATACCATCTTACTCCTGTCAGAATGGCTAAAATCAAAAACACCAATGACAATTTATACTGGAGAGGATGTGGTGAAAGGGCAACACTCCTCCATTGCTGGTGGGAGTGCCAACTTGTGCAGCCACTTTGGAAATCAGTATGGAGATTCCTCAGAAAAATGGTAATAAACCTACCACAAGACCCAGCAACTCCACTCTTAGGCATATATCCAAAAGATGCCCATTCATACAACAAGGATGTCTGTTCCACTATGTTCATAGCAGCATTATTTGTAATAGCCAGAACTTGGAAGCAACCTAGATGCCCCTCAACCGAAGAGTGGATAGAGAAAATGTGGTACATTTACACAATGGAGTACTATTCAGCAGAAAAAGAAAAAAAAAAGAATCCTGAAATTTGCAGGCAAATGGATGGTACTAGAAGAAACCATCCTGAGCGAGGTAACCCAGTCACAAAAAGAGAAACATGACATGTACTCTCTCATGTATGGATTTTAGACATAGATCTGGGGAGTGACAGCCTACAATCCCATGGCCAGAGAGTCTGGTAAACAGAACCTTCATTCAGTGGCTGATGGAAGCAGAGGCAGACTCCCACGGCTAAGCACTGAGCTAAACTCAAGAAATCCAGTGACAGAGAGGGAGGACTGATGACCAAAGGCATTAAGACTGGGCTGGTTTAACCCCCAGAAACAGCTGACCTGACAAGGGTTAGCTCTTGAATCCCAGACTGCTGCCTGGGAATCCAGCATGGGACTGATCAAGACCCCCTGAATGTGTGTGTCAGTGAGGAGGCCTAGGTAATCTATTGAGCCTTGGGTAGTAGATCAGTATTTATCCCGGGTATACAAATGGACTTTGGACTCCCATCCAACAATGAGAGATGTATTCTCACCCTGGACTCTTGGGGGAGGGTCTATGCCCTGCCCTGGATGAAATGACAGACTATGGTCACCCCCATGGAGGGCCTCACCCTCCTTGGGGAAATGAGGGGATATTGGGGGGATGGAGGGAGAGCACAGGAGGAAGGGAGGGAAACATAGAGGGACCTGGAACTGACATGTGAAGCAACCTTGTTTCTAATTTAAATTTAAATTTAAAAATAAATATATATATGTATATATATATAAAGAAAAGGATGTTGAGTTTATTTTTAAAAGAGCGATTTTAATATGGAGAACTAGACAAGCAAATATGGGAAGTCTAAAAACACAGACAGGGAGCAGAAAATCACAGAGAACAGCTGGCAGGAGGCAGCTTCATCTCACAGCTGTAGCTCAGTGATAAAGCACTTGCAAGTATCTGCAAGCCCCGAGTTCTGTCCCTCACACACATAAGCCAAGAGGAAGGGGCTCTCATGAGCGGAGTCCAGACCTGTGAAGAGGGCAGAAGGAGCCCTGCTCAGCCGGTGCTCTGGCCTAAGACAGAGGACACAGTATGCAGAGCTGGGCTCTGGTATCTGAGCACAAGTTGTTGACAATCTCTGAAAGATTCTTCTATATGGAGGGAACAAACTGGTACAGATTGCAGCTGGTAAGGGAAGAAGCATTGCTAGGACAACAGTGACAGAAAGTGAAGCAAGCCCTCTGTGTGTGTCGCCGCCACACACAGGGTGCACAATGTACAATGGTCCCCGAGTCAGAAAGACTGGTCCCAGCACACACACACACCCATATCACCGGCCACAGATGTTCAAAGCCCTTCTATAAAGTGGCAGTGTCTGCATGGAGCCCTCGCACATCTCCTACAGACTTTAAACCATTAGCCATAGAAGGCCCAATACTGAGTAATGCTAGCTGTCATTGTTACACGTGTAGGGTTCAGAAACTAGCCACTCAAGAAAATGTCTGATCATGGAGATAGTTATTCTCCAGTATATTTGGTCTATGTATGCTTGAGTTTTTAGCACACAGATATGGAGTCGTCAGTTTGTAGATACATGCGTGTGTGCATACACAGAGGAAGGAAGAAAATGTGCCTCCTCTACAGCTCTTTGGATCCTGGCAATCATTCCTCAGTCCCCTACTGTATGACCGGCCCATGTGTTCCCTTTGCTCTTGTTGGGCATTTTCCTGATGGAAATCTGGACTTTCATTCCTGAAGACTGAGAGTCTTCAAAGGCCATTTGTTGGATGCTGGTTTGCTATTAACTTTTATGTGGGGACATAGACTTCACAGAAGCCTTCCAAAAGAGGGCCCTGGGTTCCACACATTATGCCCCTGGTCCCACTATTTAGTAAAACAAAAATCAAAACAAAAAAAACCCCACCATTTTCTTTAATAAAAGATCCAGTTTCCCAGGCAGTGGAGTAATGAATGGTTTTATTTGTGTTGACTCGGTGGCTTGCAAAGTCCCCAAGAATCTCAGCTTCCAGCTTAGTAAGATCCCAGAGCCTCCTGCTGGAAGATTTCAGAAGGGAACTAAGAGGGGAAAGGAAAACACAGTCTCTTATTTATGAGGCATTACAGCAACGAGCGCTATTCATCAGGCCACCTCCTCTTGTTCCCAGACTATGGTGGCCATGTTGATGTCACGGGAAGTAAGAACTGATTCCAACCATCTGGGCAGCCAGTAACCTATCCCAGCCCTAACCTGCATCTTTCAGGACAGAACTTTACCCTTCAGGCAGTTGTCTTCCTGCTAGAACCATGACTCCAAAGCAGACAGACAAAGCCTAACAAGGCCAGCTGCATCTGTATGAATGCAATAGGGCTTGAAGATTAGTGACAAGGGGTTACAGTGACAGATGTACATATAGGAAAGTATGGGGGTATCTCTCGGATATCTTGAGACATTTGGAGGCATGTTTATGCTCATCAAAAAGAACCCCATGGGAGGAGCCATGAGACTGGGTGGGGGATGGGCAGCCTGTTCTGTGATGTCACTAGCCATCCTTGTTGCTCAGTAGGCTTGCATAGAAAGAGTCCATGGCTACATGGCAGAGGCTATGATGTCCAGCTGATTACAGGTGACCCTTTCTAAAATAGAGGGTGCCATAATCTGGACCTGGAATGTCTCCCAGAAGTCTACATGTTAAAAAGACTTTGCCCATAGCTTGCTCTGTGAGAAATGGGCAAGAAGTTAGAGTTCTCAGGGTGCCACTGAAAAGAATAGGGGCTACAGTCTCTTCCTATCACCTGTCTTTCCAACCATGAGCTGAGTAACTGTACCAACCACCCAGTCCCACCGCACAACCCCATCACACAGCCCCACCACACAGCCCCACCACACAGTCTCACCACACAACCCCACCACACAACCCCATCACACAACCCCACCACACAACCCCATTACACAACCCCATTACACAGCCCCACCACACAGCCCCACCACACAGCCCCACCACACAGCCCCACCACACAGTCTCACCACACAACCCCACCACACAACCCCACCACACAACCCCATCACACAACCCCACCACACAACCCCATTACACAACCCCATTACACAGCCCCACCACACAGCCTCACCACACAGTCCCACCACACAGCCCCACCACACAGTCTCACCACACAACCCCACCACACAGTCTCACCACACAACCCCACCACACAGTCTCACCACACAACCCCACCACACAACCCCACCACACAGCCCCACCACACAGTGCCACCACACAGCCCCACCACACAGTCTCACCACACAACCCCACCACACAACCCCATCACACAACCCCACCACACAGCCCCACCACACAACCCCACCACACAGCCCCACCACACAACCCCATCACACAGTCCTCACCACACAGTCTCACCACACAACCCCACCACACAACCCCACCACACAACCCCATCACACAACCCCACCACACAGCCCCACCACACAGCCCCACCACACAGCCCCACCACACAGTCCTCACCACACAGTCTCACCACACAGTCCTCACCACACAGTCTCACCACACAGTCCTCACCACACAGCCCCACCACACAACCCCATCACACAACCCCATCACACAACCCCACCACACAACCCCACCACACAGTCCTCACCACACAACCCCACCACACAACCCCACCACACAGCCCCACCACACAGCCCCACCACACAGCCCCACCACACAACCCCACCACACAGTCTCACCACACAGCCCCACCACACAGCCCCACCACACAGTCTCACCACACAACCCCACCACACAGCCCCACCACACAGCCCCACCACACAGCCCCACCACACAGCCCCACCACACAGCCCCACCACACAGTCTCACCACACAACCCCACCACACAACCCCATCACACAACCCCACCACACAGCCCCACCACACAACCCCATCACACAATCCCCACCACACAACCCCACCACACAACCCCACCACACAGTCTCACCACACAGTCCTCACCACACAGTCCTCACCACACAACCCCACCACACAGCCCCACCACACAGCCCCACCACACAACCCCACCACACAGCCCCATCACACAGCCCCACCACACAACCCCATCACACAGTCTCACCACACAACCCCATCACACAACCCCATCACACAGTCCTCACCACACAACCCCACCACACAGTCTCACCACACAACCCCACCACACAACCCCATCACACAGCCCCACCACACAACCCCATCACACAGTCCTCACCACAATTCCTCTCTCCACATTCCACAGCAATTCGACCAACCCATCAGAGCCAGCAGCCTCCAAAGCTCATCCCAAATAACCTCTTCTTCTATTTGTTTATTTTTTTTAATTTGATGGAGATAGGAACTAGGTCCTCATGCATGCTAAGCAAGTGCTCTTATCATTGAGCTACAGGTCAGCCCAAACCGCCCTTATCTTAGCAAGCCAATCACCCGGGGTTATCATAAGTGAGACAGAGGCTGATGCATGCAGAAGGAAAGCAGTTTCCTTACCTGGGCAGATGCGCCCTGGTTTCAGGCTTACCTGCCTACCATGCTCCATTGTGGGCTTCCAGGGCTTTGACTGACAGTTGCTTTGCTTTTCTGGATCATGTGTTTCTGTTTTATAGCAGCAGGGAGATGCACAGTTCCAAATGTCCTCCTAGTGAAGAAAAGGACTGTAGGTTGAAAATAGAAGGCACAGGTCCGTTCTTCTGACTGTTGTCCAGGTCAGGAAATAACACTCAGTTGTTTTAAATGGTCTGGAGAGAACTTTTCCTTTCCCAGCCAGTTTTCCGGTAGTTGCAATGTTCTCCACAGTCTTCTTTCGACTGGGAACTGTTTGAAGTCATGGCTCCCCAACATCTGTCTGTCAGGACTGCCAAGGCTGTCAGCATAGACAGAGGGAGATGATAACATGATTGTGCCACAAGGTCTGGGCCACCTGCTCACACACACTAACATGTCATTCTGGTCTTTCGCAAGCTGTGCCTGGCATACATTGTCTGAACCTGATCCTAGCTGCAGATGATTGGGCAGAGGAAGTTCTGGACCCTCCAGAATCAAGGATGCCCAGATGCATTCACCATAAGCTCAAGCTGGTTTGGAGTTTACAACCAAGGAGAAACCATGGATCAGGGACCCAGATGACTATACTGGCTTCTTAGAGACCAAGGGACATTGAGTGAAGAAACTGGACAGGCTATCGTGAGCCACCCAAGGTGGGAGCAGCAGGTACCCCTCAAGTTTTGTTCTTTCCCTCTTCCATTGGAGATCCCTGTCCCTCTGTGCCACTGGTGAGATGGGGCCACCAGAACTCTTATCAATTGGACATCAAATGCAGAATCATCGCCTTTGATGTGGAAAAAATGCAGGCTAAACAGCAGAATGCCCTGGCTGGGCTCCTGCCCTCTGCTCTTGGGTAGTTTGACAGGTATAGTCAACTCACGGGCTGGTGAAAAGGACATCTGACTGCTCGGACATGGGGCCTGGGGAGCTGCATTTTAGTGAGAAAAACAAAAGGCTCATAAGAATGCGATATGTTAGTCATACTCTAGTTCTTCCTTTGGATTTGGTGTTAATTGTAAATCTGTTAGTTTAAATTTCATACTCTGACAATAGTGTGTTAATTCCTGTCATTCATTCATCCAGTTGGAGACCAAAGATGATATTTATTTATGCCTCATCAAGGGTGGGTCCCCATGCTGGGTCTGAGGCTTTGGAGGAGCTGTTCTAGGGTGTTTCTTGGTGGGATGTGAGAAAATGTCTATTCACCATAGACCAGGCACTTACAAGAGACCAAAGAAAGAATTTGCTTGGTTCTAGCTTAGTGAGCCAGTGGGTTTCTTAGGGTTATTACAGGAGTGTGGGTGACTGGAAGGCAGCAACATCACAGAAAAGCCTATCTCTGACAGGCATCTCAATACCTCAGAGAGCCTCCTCCTCCCTGATAATTGTTTCTGCTTCTGTAACCATGGCTGGAACCCTATGACTCACCACAGGAGCTTCGAGCATCTTGGAGGCTTTATTTAGGAGCCTCCCTCTTGCCAGGAGTCTGGTGTTTCAGCTCAGAGAGAATAGCCAATCAGCAGGTGCTGAGGAAATATCTTAGACACCTTTGACTTCAGGAAAACAAAAGAAGGCCACAGTGAGGCTTTCTGGGAGTGGGGGGAGACTGCCGAAGTTGTCTCCAGCCATCTGATGACTTCCTTCTCTACTCAAGCCAAGTGTCTTGATCAGTTTGTTGGTCCTGTTTTTCTTAATTTGCTGGTCCTGTAATCCCAAATTCAGAGCCTGTGTGGTGCACGCACAACAGTCAACAGGAAGGATGAGCTGCACACTTTGTCCTCACATGAAGCCCTGCAGCTCCCTCCCCTCCGTATCGAGCAAGCACATGGAGGGGAATGCCCAATCCACCCATTTCCCAGCACCCACTCATGATTCCAGAAGCAACTTCTTCAAGAACAACTAACTCCCTCAGAATGTTTTAGGCTTGTTGCTGTTTGCTTTGGTTTGGTGTCTGAGCATTACAGATTCTTTTCCTAAAGTCAGGCATAACGGCTTCTACCTCTGCTCCCAGCACTGGGGAGACTGAGGAAGGAAGATTATGAATTTAGGGCTAGCCCGTACTACATAGCTCCACATCCGTGTGGATTAAGAGCTCTTGTCTATAGGAAAGGTAAGTAAGAGATTCCTTTTCTAGGTGCCTCACCATAGCTATCAGGAGAGGAACATTCCAGGACTAGAGGGAGGGAGGGAGGGAGGGAGGGAGGGAGGGAGGGAGGGAGGGAGGGAGGGAGGAGGGAGGGAGGGAGGGAGGGCAGGCTTCATTAAGAATAGATATCTACCTCCCTGGGGGAATAGGATTTGACAAAGGTTCTCATGCCACAGGATGACGGCTGACTCAAACACTTTTCTTGCACCTTCTTTCTTCCCCCTCAAAAAGTAAAATGCAAAAGAAGCTTGAGCTGCCCCCTCCTTCTGTGGCTCTTGCTCACGTTCAGGTCAGCAGTGCAGGGTTTCCCACAGATGAGGCTCATAGCACACCTGCCTGCATTGTGGTGGCCTTGGTCTTCCGACACTGTAGGGCAGGCAGCTAAGGTCAGTGAGTGCAGAGTGAGGGCCCTGGAAGAAACTGGCTATCACGGCAGACACTTTCATGGGTAGTTATGCTGCTCCATGTTGCCCTTCCAAGGCTTTAAGAAATGACTTTGAACTCAGGAGACAGCACTCTGCAAAACATTCCAATTTTGCAGGGGATAAAAGTAGAAATACTTATTCTTTTCCATGCAGGCATTCAAATAGTATCAATGACTTTTCTAGGAATGGAAGCAAGACATCATCTTCTGGTCAGGAACATGGGTCATGTCAGGGACAGAAGAGCAGTGGGCAGGTCTGGGAGCCACTGCAGGAAGAAAAATGAATAAGGAAGAGAAAGGCGAGAAGAGTTTACTTTACATCCATGCCACACTATGAAAGGGGGGCAAGGGCAGGAATGGCCTAACCATGATCGGTTTGTGCTTAAGGCAGGCCAGGCACTGGACTCACTCATGAACATGGCACATGCAACAGACATGCGGGCCTTGTGAACATGCCGAGGGAGGATTTGAGGAGTCCCAACCGTGCAGCCTGCAACAGAATTGACATTTGCCTGAATTGGGAAAAAGAAACACGGGGCAGGCTTGGGAGCTTATTTCTCAACAGCTACTGAGCAGTAGCCACTGTCTCGATTATAAAAACAGGACTGTCCCATGATTGGAGATGTTATGATTTAATTGATTGCATATACCAGAGTTTAGATCATGAATGGCTAACCAAATGTTTTAGATTTAGGCAAAACTGGCTTGTAGCAAAGTGACCATAATCTTCTTAAAAACAGTGATTCTAGCCTTTAATCCCAGCACTCGGGAGGCAGAGGCAGGTGGATCTCTGTGAGTTCGAGGCCAGCCTGGTCTACAAAGTGAGTTCCAGGACAGCCTCCAAAGCCACAGAGAAACCCTGTCTCGAAAAACCAAAAAACAAACAAACAAACAAAAAAAAAAAACAGTGATTCTAACACAGTACAGTCCCTGCTTCCCCTTCTAAAGATAAAACTGGGTTTAGTCAACAATGGTCAAACTTACCACAGGTTGCTTTTATGTTTAGATTCATATAAGTGGCTATTCAAATATGTTTTCAGAGGATAACTCACTGCATTATTTCATAGCAAAACAAAATCACCCATTTCAGCTTCTGTTCACAACCTGTTGCAAGCACTGGTTAAAGATAGTGAAGCAATTGTGGTCTGTTTTTGTTTTTGTCTGTTCCAATTTAGTTAGAATTCTCTGCATCTAAAAGTCTTGCCTTTGACTTATAGAAAGGCATTTAAGTGTGGCTTATGTAGAATATCAAACAAACATTTAACATCTGTCAAAAAATTTACTGTACGACTAAACAGTTCCTACGTGGGCCCAGCTTGAAAATCAATAGAACGTGCCTGACATGTATGCCAGGCCAATCTCAGAGAAGCTCAAGTATGCTGCCTGCAAGTGCCAGTGGCATCACTGTTGGACATCAGGGTATTTGGAGCATTGATACAGGAACATCCCCTCCGATTCTGCCTTAGTATCTCTCTTGAAAATGGGTTGCAATGACTCAGAGTGGTGATTGAGCCCAGGTTCCACACCTCAGTGGATAGCCAACTCAGCTGACTCTGGCTTGGGAGTGCCAGGATTTGGCATGGTTTGTGTCTCCCAGATGCACTTGCTAGAAGCTTGGTCCCCAGGATTTGGTTGTTGAGAGAGGTGGTGGGTCACTTTCACGAGGTGGAGTCCTGTAGAGGGCGCTTAGGCCACTGAACATTGAAGTGATGCCTTTGGAAGGCACTAAGGTAGGTTTCTTGGGACTTCTGATCAGTGGGATGGAAATAGATCATAGCAGCAGCTCTAATTCCTGAGACACTGAATCTCCTCTTCCCACAACTGGTCCTATCACTCTGACATCACCTACCATAATTCCTTCACCAAAAGCAAAGCCAGTGAGGTCCCTGACCAAAAGTTTGAACTTGGAGGAATTTGCACAAAACAGACTTCCGTGCATATGACACCCTTCAAAAGACAAGAGTATATGGACAGAAGAGGTATTAGGGTTATAAGGCCAGTGAACAGGGAGTCGCTGGATACAAATGGAGTCAACGGGGCCATTTATAAGGATGATGGAACCACTCTGTCATGGATGGAAGCCTGGTTCCTGGTTCCACAGGAATCTCTGTGCTTGTTAAAACCCGCAAAACTGTTCTTCCTGATTCTGTCTCTCTCAGACTGTCTGCATCTGTGTGTGCGTTGGCAGACTTATGTCTGGCGCATGTTTGTGCTGGTCACAGGACTGTTTTCTTCTGCAGTCCCTTGAGGCCCTTCACTCAGAGGCTAGGGGTAGGTAAGAAGAGTCCACTTCTTGTCTTGTGGTTGCAGGCACAGATCCTGCTAGCTCCCCCACCCCTAACCAGAAGGCAGCCTATGGGGGGGGAGGGCTGTCCTGGGACTCAGTTTTCTGTGGCTCTGCAGTGACAGACCAGCAGGGTCCATTCCAGATGAGTCATAATAGTCTTGGCTCCAACCCAAGCCAAAGCTGCTGTTAGCTGAGCTGAGAGACATAAGAGACTCTGTTTGTCCCGGACAGACAGTAAATAAACAAGAAATTCCCTGGTGTCCCATGAGAATGACTTACAAAGAGGCAGGTGAAGTGGACACTTCCCAAGCTCTTTTTCCCAGAGAAATGTTTTACAGGGGACACAGCTAGCTCTGAAGGAATGCAAGGAAATGGAGCCTGACACCCACACCCAGACACCACAGAGATGTGCTGTGTGGTTCCTGGTGCCCCAGCATTTCCGGACATGTGTGATGATGTCTGTGAAATGCTCAGATACAGGCAAGCATATCTTGACTAGAACTGGGGTTACAGACAGTTGTGAGCTGCCATGTGGGTGCTGGTAATTGAACCCTGGTGCTTTGTAGACCAGGGTGGTCTAGAACTCACATTGATCCACCTGCCTCTGCCTACTGAGTGCTGGGATTAAAGGTGTGTGCCACCACGGCCCAGCTCCTCATTGATTTTTAATCCTATGAAGTTGATAGTTAGTGTTAGATATCACAGTTATAAACAAATTTATGAAAGTAAACTAACTAATGAAAGCTTCTAGGTACA